AGTTTTGCAAAGTGTGTGTTACAAAATTGCAAACTGAGTGCAAAGCAGTTTTTGTGCTTTTAGTTTTGCAAACTCAGTGAGTGGTTTTGCTATAAGTCTGAACAGCTTTAGAGATTGTGCTACAGGAATCACAGTTAGGGTTTAAGCATTCAGAAGAAACTGTAACACTTTGGAAACGCAGTCAAACAGGCAAGACGGAGGCGGTGTGGACATGTGGAGAGAGGGGATAGTGGATATTTTGGATAAAAGATACTAAAGATGGAGCTGCCAGGCAGGAGGAAAAGAGGTCAGAGGAGGTTCATGGATGTAGTGAAGGAGGACACGTTGTGGGTTTGTGTGACAGAAGAGAAAGCTAGGGACAGCAGGAGATGGAGCTGATGATCCACTGTGATGCCCCCTTAAAGGAAACTGGTGTAAACAGAAGAAGACAAACAAGTATGAAGTATGATGGTGGAGATGTGCTGGTGTAGGGCTGCTTTGCTGCTTGGGGACGGAGCACCTTTTGATCACTGATTTAATTAGAACACAAGGTGCTTTACATTGTAAGGTCGACCCTACAATAATACATGCAGAGAAGAACCCAACAATCATATGACCCCCTATGAGCAGCACTTTGGCGACAGTGGGGAGGAAAAACTCCCTTTTAACAGGAAGAAACCTCCAGTTCAGGGAGGGGCGGGGCCATCTGCTGTGATTGGTTGGGGTGAGAGAAGGAAGACAGGATAAGGACATGCTGTGGAAGAGAGACAGAGACAATGATTCAATGCGGGTGTATAAACACACAGTGAGTGAAGGAGAAACACCCAGTGCATCAACAGCAGTAATCCAGTAATGCACAAATGGGACGGTACATCACAGTTACTTTAATTAAACAACTTCTTCACACTTAAATAAAATGACTTATTTTTTCCCATGTTGTAAATGGTTTATATAAAGTCTTGTGCTGTTATGTGGCTGAGTTTGTGTGGAGTCGACGAGCCTGTATTTAGACCCAAGTGCACAGACTGTTAAATAAATCTGCCACGTTACTGTAAAATGCACATGGACACACATGCACACACACAACCACGCACACACGCAATGAAGAGGGGCTGGGCTCGGTGCAGTGGCCATTTGTGCGCCTTTTATTGTTAAGCACCACAGACGTGTCTGTACATGGCAGACTGTCACAGTGTTCTGTTTGTTCTGAGAAGAAAGTGTGGCCTGTCTGACCTATAGAGGTAAATCTATCAGCTTCAGAGAGGAAGCTGTGCAGCATACTGTCAGGATACCTTCAGCCTCGTGACAGGGGTTAAGCAGAGGACCGACATGTCTGGACCCAGGGTCTCCATCCTCTGTCGGTGTGAGTGATAGGAACCAAAACTCTGGGCTCAAGGTTAAGAAAATGTGCCGGTAACTGGAGGGAAATTCTGAGAAGAGAGAAAGACTTCCCTTTATCAGGGTCCTCAGTGATCAGTGTGGAGGAAAAGAAAAAGAAACAGGGACAAACATGAAAGTGTCCTTTTGCCATGGCAGACTTTGAATGGTCACAGAAATTTCTCATTGTGAAATTTTGGTAAAGGAGGAAGTGCTTGTACCCCCCCCCGCCCCCGATTGTGCCCTGTTCTTGGCGTGGAGACAAATTCCACATAGCACAATCTGTTGACCTCTATTTGCTTTCTTAACTGGATAATCACAAATGAGGCTTGATACAGCCTTACTAATTTGGGGGATTTCTGCTAATCTGTAGAATTTCATAACTGAAACCAAGTAATTCCAACTAAATCCATTTTTGAATGATGTCCATGCACCACAACGGGCTCAGCGTGCTGACGTCTGAGGACAGGGAGGCAGTTTATGTTCAGCTGAGCTACGAGCTGCTTGTTAAAGCGAACTTTTAGTTACTTAGTTGTGAAGCCCAGCTAAGTAAACGGACTCACCATGTTTGCAGTGTAACAGAGGATATGCAGGCATAACAGAAACATCCAGCTGGGTCCGGTTCATCTTCTGCCACAGTATTAGGGTGGGGAAGGGGATGATAAGACTCAACATGTTATAACGAGAAACCTGCACACATGAGAACTTGAAGCTCAGTATGGCACAATGTCTTGGCGCAGCATCAACATCACAGTCTGTGGGAATGAGCCTTTTCATTTGAACTGACTTAGCTGTGACTTAGCTGTGCACCAGTCCATCTGAGCCACTGTCTCCAGCGTGAGTCTCAGACTGTTTCATTAGGAAATAATTGATGGACTCTCCCCAGGAGATTGCAAATTTCCTGTTTTTAGTGTGTGTTTGTAACCCCAGCGATCATATCAGCACATTTTAATTAAACTTCGTATTTCTTTTATGAAAAATATTTCAAGCGTGTAGAATCTAAGAGCGACTGTAAATGTGCAGGTCAGCAGTGTCAAAGACATTTTCTGGCAGCTGCTGACACATCTGTGCAATTCCAACAACAGTGGCTCATATACAAAACCAAACATGGAGGCATTCAATCGATATGTTAACTAACTCAGACGTGCGTTTGTTAAAACCACGTGTGATTGTCACAACTGTTGTTATAGATCATGTTCAGTCAATTTATTTATTATTTCTGTATTTATGAGGAAGTTCTATTAAAATAATAAAAAACGTGCCTTTAACTCTGCGAGTCATCAGACATGACCACAGGACCAGGGCGCTCTACATCAGGTGGTTATAATTTTTCTCATAGTTGCAGTCACATGTTGTGCTTACCTGTGGCATCTAAAGAGGCTAACGTTCACAGTAAAGATCTTAATAAGTGCTCTATGCAGCGCATGCTAGCAGCCTTTGTATTTGGAATGAGGGGTTTTAAATCTGCAGCCACACAGTAACAAATGAATGGAGTGTGCTCAGCACTGTTAGTTTGTATGGAGGCCGCCTGCTCTTTATTCTGGTTTTAAATTTGTACATGTCCTCCTTTTAACCTGTTAACCTAGCATCATGATCAGTGTAGCTGCTGTACAGTGTGTTACGATGCACAAATGACCGTGGTGTCATTGTTTTATGGTCACGCTTACCTTTGGAGCACATTTCTGCAATACCGGTGATTTTGTAGCTCGGGGTGGCAATGACTGATGCCATTGTCTGCACTTGTGCTGATTAGAGTTTATACGAATGCGACTTTGCTGTTAGGCTGGATTTTTTCTCATGCTTATACTTGCAAGAATCTGCCAGTTCCAGACATTGAATGTTCCCAGAAAGCATTTACTCTGTCAGTGTGTCTCTGCTGAGGATGGAGCCTTCAGGCTTATCAGTAAAGTACGGCACTCAGCCAAAAAATGTTAATGAAATAATTTGAGCTGCATGTGAAACACAGAGTAATGATTTAAGACCCGTTAGAGTTCTTTTTGTGTTGTCAAATTAATTCTAAGAATTATAAGGTGATGCACATGTTTTATGATGAAATGCCCATTTTTGTTTGTGTTTTTCACACAGGTTTTATTGTATTGTTACACAGTTACTGTAAGCTGCACATTGATGGTTATCACAGCATATAACCATGTAATAAAGCTTTGACTGCTCCCTTACAGACAGGGGCTCAGCATAGCTGGTAGCACCACATGTTTATTTGGTTTTATTTTACTTCTTGATGCAACAATGTGATTCATATCAGGAACAAACCCAGCGTAACCTTGATCCACTGGTCTGCTGGGATATCACCAGTTTCCATCCAAGGAGCTGACGTGTGCGTTATTATTTTAGTTTGTTAAACTGGGCTCGATCCAGGTGACAGCGAGCCAACGTGATGCTACCTGTGTGCGTCAGCAGCAGTCTGTACTCAGTTTAAATATGACATGGATCAGTTCGTAAAGGCTGAGAGAGGTGGACAGAGAGGGAGAGAGCAGGAGAGGAACAGGTGAGAGGGGACGTGTGGTCACAAAAGTTCTTCTTCACAAAGTGTCATTCACGGATGCTCAGCCTGCTTTCCAGCAGCACACTTTCAGCCGACCGACCCAAGGGGGACGCCATCATTGCATTTGTCTGTGTTTGACACGAGGAAGCCCTGCACTGCAGCCCAAACAGATCACGTCATAACAGACCTGTTGATTTCTTCCAAGCCAAAAGCACCAGTTTAACAACCTTAGCAGCAAACATTTGGTCAAACTGAAGTGCATGCAGCCCGTGACCTTAGACACTCGTGGACATTCACTGAAAATATTGGTTGTAAAGGCTTATATCAGCTGATGCTGACACTCAAAAGGCTTAAAGAGAATACGTCTGACAGGTTCACTTTCCGTGTGTCTTTAGTGTCTCAGTGACGGCTTAAAGTCATGGCACCTGAGCGCGTCTGCTTCCTCCGTTCATGAACTGTGTGAACCCATCGTGTGCATCATGTGGGCTGATTTAAAGCAACTTGAAAAGGAAATGAGGTTGTGTGTATCTGTTCATTGCTGTGTGTCTGACCTCCTTAGCACAGCCATCAGCCGTGGGCAGGTCCAGGCCATACCAAGGTGTGCGAGTCAGGGATCCTGTCAAAGAGCTGCTGAGGAGGAAGAGGAGCCTGGAGCTTCACAGCACCAAGACACTGCCTCCTACTGGGGTGAGGACGCCATGACAGATAAGCAAAGAACACTTGTTGATGTTTGAAGCACAAGCTGCCACATTTATAACGAGCAGGGTTCAAAAAAAGCAGTCTTCAAGTAAAATCTGAAACGAATGAAAATGTCTGTGTGCATTTACCTGCAAGGTAAGTCATTTCCTGTAAATCAATGTGTGGTTTAAAAAAAGCAAAACCAACAAAACCCTGCAGATTGTTCCTTAAAGCTGTACTTGGACTGTGTGTTTTCAGGGTAGGTTTACTTTGCTAAACAGTGTTTCCAAAGAAGCCCTCACGGCATCGTTAGTCACTAAACAAATACACAGGAGACTCCCACAGTGGGGAGCAGCGACTGCTCTGCATTATGTGCTGACACTTTGAAACCGGCGCTTTGTGAGACGTTTGGGAGAGACTGAGTTAAAAATGTGTAAGAAAATAAATAAAAGTAAACTAGAGCGGTGCTCTGCTTTGGTTTCATGTTGAAGAACATTTTGCAAGGTTTCAACAACAGTTTCCATGAACCCCCTCCAAAAATCCCCCCACCCCTCTTTGACCTAGAGCTGCCCTCTAATCACATGACCTGATAGCCTCCTGATGATTTATCACTTTCAGTCTTTAGGCCAGTATTCTTTTCTCGTGAATCACTGATCTCTCTGCAGGGATCACAACCTCACAGAACAGCAACATGCAGAGACTGTTTGATTGGGAATGACTGTTCTGCACCTCAGGAGACTGCACATGAGATCTGCAGGAATCGAAAGCAAAATGTCCTGTGAGGATGTGTTCGGTCGGGATACAGGCTCAGAAAGCAGCGGGGGATTTTATCCTTATATAATCCAGGTGTTTTTCCATGGCGGTTACAGCAGAGCTGCAGGGCTGGGCACACAGCCCTATGCAAAGTAACGTGCAGCCTTGCCAAAGAGACCTCCCACTTTCTATTCCCTACAAGAAGAGAAGAGGCCAGAAGCAGCGGTGTGCACAAACATACACATGTACGGACACTCCCCGTGACTAGCATGTGATATTCCAACATCTTTTATTGGCAGGGCACTACAGTTGATTATTTTAAATGCAATGAGTTAGTGCTGCTAGCAGCAAAGATAAAATTCTGTCCACTTCTTCCACTATTTGCCTGCCTGGCAGGACTACGTGGGTATTTCCAGGATTCTGGTTCAAAGGGACAACAGTTGTGTTTGTGCAAATCTCAAACCAAACCACATTACTATGAGGTGGCAGTTATTCCACACTCACTGAGTCTGCTTTCAGATGTTGTCACTGCAGCTTTCCACAGTAAAAATCCTCCGAACGTGTTGCCTTTGGAGCTAAGAAGCGTGTTGTGAAAGCACGCTGTCATCATCTCTGGACTGAATTCCCAGTTTGTTCAATCAAACTGATAAATCACAGCTACGCTGCGAACAGACACCTGAGCACCAACGATGAGGAAATACATAAAAGCCAATACCTGAATAATTCATTTTGAATTCCAGAAGTTAACTATACGACACATGCACATTGGTCTTTCCTCTTTTTGTGGATATTTTGTCCGTTTTTCTTTGAGGAAAGATTACAGACTTCACAAAAAGTGGATTTTGCCACACTGTCCACTCTCTGCCTCGTCTCTGTGTTTGTGCAAACCCAAATGTCCGTCTCACAGATTGAGTCTAAAACCCGTCTGTTTGGTATCGACTGGTCGGGCTGTACATGTGCCTGTAGCAAGAAGAGACACTGCGATACGCAAACACAAAAGACTGAATGGGAGGCAACAGCGGCAGCACTGACAGCGTGTGTCAGTGTTTGTACTGCATCCTGCTGCCTGCAGTCAGCGGGCAGGGCGTCTTCAAGGCAGCAGGGAGGTGCTGCCAGGTGGCTGACGCGCTGCAGGAGAGGAGCTGATGGTTCGACAGCTCTGACAGGAGGAGCTACAACAATCGCACAGTTAAACCCCACTGTGGTCACTTTCTGAGGACGCTTTGTGTTCACAAAGTAAAGGACCTGATCACCTGCACTGGGTTTGACTGAGGCTGAGGAATGAGTCGGCTTTAACAGCATCCATAAAAGTTACACCTGGACATGTGTGTTCCACTTCACCATGAATGCGCTTTAAGAAGCAGCCATAACGTTCTGCTTGAACGATAATCTGAACCTCTTACACAAAGTGTGGCGGCACCATCCTCTACCTCCAACTTCATTTAGTTCAATCTTTCAGTGTCTGAATGTATTTCACATTAGCTGCAGGAACTTTCCAAAGGGTGAAACACCTGTGATAGTTTATGGATTCAGTCGGTCGGTCACAGATCCATTAAAATCAACTTGATGATTTTTTAAATGACTCATTATACTGTGCAGAAATCCCGAGCCACCCTTTACATTTTGCTTCCAGAGTTTCTGCTCATTTGGACATTGGTTTCTTTTTCATTCGCTGTCAGTCCGGCTGTGAATCATTCGAGCATTAAAAAGGAGGCTAACTGAAGGGATGCAAAAACGCACCCTTTGTTATCGTTTCTTGGTCAAAAGTACCAACGATAACACACTCTGACAGAGCTCAAATAAAACAAAAGTGACTCCAAAAGAGCCAGACTGTGAAATACTGTATCCTCAAAAAACTGTGAAATCTGGGGAAGACGAGGAGTGGCACCCCTAAAAACAAAGAAAACAGCAAATGATCAGTACAAGAAACAGGAACACGTCCAACAATGACCTGACCCTGGACCTGAGGAGTGTAACTGGCCCTTCAGCTGATCTAGCTCCTGAAGCCTGGACAGAAATGGTGTCAGTCAGTCACAGTGATAAATCCAAACGTAATGTTTTGGTTTGAATCATTTTCAGTGTGTACGGAGGAGGCCAGGAAAGAGCCCGACTAAGTGTCTGCCGCTCTCTGTGAAGCACGGTGGAGGCGCTGTCGTGGTTTGGGGCCGCGCTGCTGGTGACCTTTCAAAACTGATAAAAGTACCGTGAGATTTTGATCCACCACGAAACAGAAAGGAGTCTGATTGGCCACAGCTTCATTTATCAGCATAGCTATGATCCTAAAGACATGATGTCAGTGCGTTAAAGCGCACACACAATGGAAACCCTCCAATGAGTGTGTGTGTGTGGAGAAATAGGTTCAGAATGGGTTCAGTGGTTCTTCAGCGATCCTCTGTATTATTGTCTCTTTCTTTTATTTGCTATCTTTACAGCTCACTTCTTCTCAGGAGAGGACCTGCCTGCTCTGGCCTCAGAAGAACATAGATCCTCGATCTGCTCCCACACGTGCCTGAGATATGTCATTTACAGCAGAAGCAGCTGTTGGCAGAACAAGCTGGAATTTGCTCAGTTAGCATGAAAAACATTTGTCATACATGTAGGCTTTGTGGTCGTCCAGTAATGGTTTTATTTTTTTGCCACTTTAATAAATAAGGTTAATCATGAACTCACATTTATCCCCCAGATTATACAAGACTGGAAAACCCCTCATAAGTTATTTATTGGGGAGAAAAATCCAGTATGATATATCCAGTATGCCAGCATTGGTAAATAGAGACCCTGATGACTGTCCCACCTCAGCTTTGTCTTACCTTCCAAGGAAATGTTAAAAGCAACTGTACCGTGAATGAACAAACATTTCCCAGTCAGACCAGTCAAGATGTGTCACTGCACAATAACAAACGCTGGGTGCTGCACAACAGTACCAGTGCTCTGTGTTTTTCGCCGACCCACCAGCAGCATTTATAGAGCCTGGCCTTTGAGGTTTAGATGAACGGTCTGTTTTAATACTATCATGGAGGCTCACAGGGGTCGTCTGATCATCGGGATATTCTCTGTATTACTGTAGGTCGAGGCATGTGGCACTATATAAATAAAGCTGAACTGGACCGATGTACTTCCATGCCCAGTAGTATCAAATTCACAGCTTTCGCTTTAATGAACGGATCCAGAAAAACAAGTTCAAAAAACACTTTTGAATTCTCAGATAGCTGCTCACACCTGAGTGTCACAGGTCCAGGTGTGGCTGCTGCATGTTTACATATCAACATCGCCGCGTTGCTGTGATTAAGGTTCTGCTGCAGTTATTGACCTGTTAAGCTCATTGATGATATCTGTGTTTTTCAGGACATGGTCTCACACAACAACCAGCCGTCATTTACACAAGGTAGAAGCCTCACCTGTGAACTACATGTTGCACGTAAAGCTGTTTCCGCGTGTCTAATGCCGAATCTGCTTCTTGTTCTCCAGGTATCTTTGGCTGTGATGTTGCCAGCGGATCCCCAGCCGAAGCGCCGACCACAGCTGCTGATGGAGGGCTGCAGTGTGCGGGGTGGAAAGCGACCAGTCCTGGGCTGCAGGCCGCCGCCATGTCCTGGTCAACGCCTGACTACAACCAGCAGGACCCCTCAGCTCAGACTCTGACCTACCCAGCCACTCCGACACTTACTATGCAAACTCTGTGTCCCAGCTACACCATGCTGACCTACACACACACACCACTGCTGACAAACTTTGGGGTGAGTGAAAAAGGACTATGCAAATATGTTCTACAGACTGCACGGGGGAATAAAATGATCACAAATCAGCACAAAAGGATAAAAACAATCAGTTCTCGCTCTATCAGTCAAATGTGATTTAACAGATAGAGCCATTGCAACAGTACAAGCATGGATTCAGGCTATTATTTCACTTTAAAGTAAGGTTGTGTATAAGTATGTGCAAGTATAAATATGTATATGTAAAAGTACATGTACCAAATCTGAAACTCTAGGCATTAAGGGGCTGCTTCACCTTTGAGACCCGATGGTACTGTATCCCACAGAGTCACGGCTGGGACGGGAACGATCTAAAGTTTTCTTTAAACTCATTTATGTCAAAATAATGCAACATGTTTAACAGTGCCACAGGATCCTGTTATCGTATGTTCTGTCTTTAGTGAACTAAGTCATCTTATTGTGCTGGTAGTCTCAGCGTCTGTAATCAAAGGTAGCTCGTACAGGGCTCGTCTTTCTCTACAGGTGCAGACAAGTGGTTGTGATGCATTGTGATGCTTCCCACCATAAAAGCCTGTTATCACTGCATGCATGCTCTCTGTGTTAACTGCCAACAGCTGCTGTGCTTGTCTTTAAATTCTTACATTTCAAACCTGCTGCAAGTGGGTAATAAATACAGAGATAAGACTGGGGTAGGGGATTAACTGGAACTCTTTAAACCCGCCGAGGACCTTTGTACACCGTGGGATTAACATGGGATTTAGATTTCTGCCTGTTCAGCATGAACGATTTCTCCTTTATATTTGCAGCTCTTTTTTCACTGCAGTTTTTGAATTTATCCAGAGAATAACTGTCACTGACTCAGTTTAGGGATTTACATACACGTCACTCATCATGACGATGAGTTGATGTGCAAAGTGGAAAAATATGTTTGTCTCTGAAAACATAAATAAATGGAAACACATCACAACAAAGAGAATCCAGGAAGGAAGAACATGGTGGCTGTCTCCACATTAAAACACTGGGACATGACCACGAGGCTAATTAACACCAAACATGTAGGTTCACCGTAGAAAGATTCACCGCAGCAGTCTAAATCAGCACAAGCTGTTCCCGGTCTGTGTCCACTGGGTTCACTAGGGCCCTCTTTTCTTGTGTACCTAATTATATCTGATTACAATATTCCTGTGAGCTGAACAATAAATGCTGACTGCAGTGACACTGCGTCTACCTTCCAAACCCTCCACAAAATCTTGATTAAAACATAAAAAAATCAATGATTGAGCGCCTAAAGTGAGGCTCGTGGCATCAGCAGACGTCCGTTTTATGCATGCGTTTGACTTTTTGCAAGGTTAAATGTCTTTGCCATCATCATAAATATTTAATGATTGCTGTTGTTTCAGACCATACCAGTGGCACCAGCCCCAGCCTCCCTGCCTCAAGTGGAGCTCCAAGACTCAGGGTTGACCTATCTTCCTTGGGCCCAGCCACTCACCACTATATCGACCATGCCTAATCACGGGGTGCAGTTTGCCCCGGGTTCTGCAGCGCTGCCTGGGTCGCCTCTGGTACACATGCCGCTGTCCATGTCGTTGACCGCCATGATCCCACAGCTGGAGCCCCAGGGTATGGACCCTCAGCCCGAGATCCTGGAGATCCCCGAGCATTCAGAGCAGCAAGCTCAAGGTCAGTCTCTGAACGAAGACCCGGAGGTTGAGGCGGAATCACCAAACCTACTGGACAAACTTCTCGAGGATCACAAAGAACATGGTGAGGAGGAGGACAAAGACTCGTACAGAAGCTCCCTCTTCATACCCAATGTCTGAAGAACATTTTTTTAAAATATGAAATCAGTATTTTTACCTTTACATTTCATTTTTTTCCCTCGGGGGCAAGTGCCTATTGGCCTTTTTGTGTAACTTGATTACCACAGATTCTGTCTATTATTAAGCCTTTGAGGTCTAACCTATCTAACTTACCCAAACCAAGTGTTTTCTGTGATTTGTAAGCAAAACTTGAAATAGTTTCTCTTAGTTATCGTGGTTTTTTTTGGTGTCCCTGTTGCAAAGACTTGTAAGAAAACAATGAAAATCCAAAAAGCGATTATTTTGAAAGTATACAGTAGAGTCAGGGTTCAGGTACGTGTTACCACACATTATGAGCCAGACTTCACAGAACTATTAATTTCTTGGATAATTGGGAATCACACGTCTATAATTATCCATGCTGGCTCATACTTAATAATAATAACAACAATAATAATAATAATAATACATTTTATTTATAGGCGCCTTTCAGACCCTCAAGGTCACCTTACAAAAACACGTGAGCAATAGCAGCATATATATATATATGGGGCGATTGTGGCTCAAGAGTTGGGAGTTCGCCTTGTAATCGGAAGGTTGCCGGTTCGAGCCCCGGCTTGGACAGTCTCAGTAGTTGTGTCCTTGGGCAAGACACTTCACCCGTTGCCTACTGGTGGTGGTCAGAGGGCCCGGTGGCGCCAGTGTCCGGCAGCCTCGCCCCTGTCAGTGCGCCCCAGGGTGGCTGTGGCTACAATGTAGCTGCCATCACCAGTGTGTGGATGGGGGGATGACTGGATGTGTAAAAGCGCTTTGGGGTCCTTAGGGACTAGAAAAGCGCTATATAAATACAGGCCATTTACCATTTACCATATATTAAACATGGCAAAATCAAATTTAGATAGATATAAAATAAATAAATAGATATAAAAACTGAGCAAGGTAAAGACTCTACTGGATTATTATGACCTGAGTTTTATTTTTGTAACTGCTCCTGACTTCTTGTTATTACATTTTCATTATGTTCATTTGATTTATTAGAAATTTGTTTAGTGTGCAGCAATAAACAGAACCGAAAGACAAATCATTTCTTGCATAGAGACTAGTGTAATTCTAGTAGTCTGTTACCTACAGTGCAAAGGTCTTAAGCAAAGGCTTCATATCTTTATATCGTCAATGGGAAATGGGCACGGCGCATTACATACATGTAAACACAGTATATTTGTACAATGAGCTTAGAAGTCCATATTTGGTATGACCACAGAGCCTTACCTGAAATCACAGGCAAGTTTCATGTGACTTTTAAAAGCCTCCTTCAAGTTTTTCTTTGGATGTTGGACGCAGTGTTTTGCAGCTTGTAGTGAAAACCATTGCAACATTGTTCAAGATGAACTTTAAAAAGTTACAATTCTGTCTCCTTAGATGCAAAATCTAAATAACGAAGGAGTAGCTCAAGACGTTTGCACAGAAATGCTATAAAATCCACGTTTGTCTGTGTTTGAGAAACAGCCAAAGCACACTGTGATTCAATTTCATATGTATAAAGTCAGTCTTAAACAGATGCCATCTAGTGTTGTGTTTGCAGAATGCAGTTCAGCATTATGTCACAGCTGAACAACCTTCTTGTTTTATATAAAGGGACCCTGTTGTTCTCATATCCAGCTCATTTCCGATTTGTGGACTTTGCTAGATTTGCTTTGCATGAACAACTTTGGATTTTTGGACACATGTCTGAAATGTGACAGCACAGTGGTGTTTGTAAGAAGTTCAAGGCAGAAACATCTGGAACCACTGATCGAGGTTTTGGTGTGCTTTTGTCTTAACCTGTGTAAATGCTTCTGCTTGTAGGTAAACAATGAGCAAAGGTTTCAAATAAATGGAATGCAATAGAAAACATTTCTCTCTGGAAAATGAAACCATTGAAGTGTCAAAAGCTGCAGTTCAGCCTCCTGAAGCTGGCTGCAGCAGTCAGTGTGTATCGACTGGTCCCGGTGTTACAGTGTCCACCTAAACAAGATGAATGATCACCCCTCTCTGATTTTTCACATCATATCAACTTCACAATAAACCTACTTGTCTGGACTCTGTTAAGTCTTAAAGTTACTGCTGCTGCTGCTGTGAGTTACAGGTGAACTGGACTGTGTTTGTGCTCCAGACAAACAATATGTCTTGCTGTGGGGTACACACCTTCCAGTACTCAATTCTGTTTTATTTCCATGTGACTTTGAATTTTTATTAGTAAAAAAAAAAGCTTAAAAACAATCAAAAAGTCAAAGTACAAGTACTTTGATGTTGTTCAGTACCTCAGCATTTTAATGCAAACACTATTTGATGTCCAGTAGAAATTGCAATAGTGCAATAGTCTTTGACTTTGCTAGTCTCTCCTAGAGTTACTCCAAACTAGACTGTAAATTACAAAGTTACATTTTATTAATCGAAACAATCAGATTTCTTCCCCTGTTGGCCAACATGCAGGATTAAGCCACGTGCACCTTGACAAATGATAGTTTGAACTCATGACCAGTAGTATTATTAACAACAGCGTTATAGTTTTTATTTATATAGCACATTTAATTAGATTAGGTAGATCTGAGTGTCATCGACATATGAATGGAAACAAGTGTTATATTTACTGAAAATTAGACCTAGAGGCAGCAGACACAGAGAATAAAATTGGCCCCAGTAAAGATCCCTGAGGAACGCCACAAGTAAGGGGAGCTGAGGAAGCGGATCTCCAAAGCTCACGGAAAAGGTCCTGTCAGACAGCTATTAACCTGTGTTGATATTAAATTAGTGGTTAATTAACTATTAACCACTCGAATGATAAACCCTTGATCCCGTAATGCTCCAGTCATGAGATCCAGATGCTGTGGTCAGTGAGTCAGTGGCTCAACTTTTAAAAGTGCAGTTTTGGTGCTGTGAAGAGCTTTAAAACCAGACTGAAGCCTGAAGAACATCCAGCCCATTTACAAAAGATTGCAGCTGAACAAATACAATCTTTTCCAAAATTTTCCATTGGAAGGGAAGCTTTGAAATAGGCCTGAAATTTGAGAGGACAGAGGAATTGAGACGAGGTTTTTTTAAGTACAGGCTGTACAACAGCATGTTTAAAACAGGCAGCACAACAGCTGAACTAAGGCTGCTGTTAAAGATCCTTAAGATGTTGGAACTTTGAAAATCAAGCATTGGAGCAAGCACAAGATATCAACTTTTTCTGCTTTTACTTGTCCTGATACCTGCTCAGACTGTCTCTCAGGATGAGAAAAGACGTCTTCTTTCCGCTTACATTTAGCCTTCCTGCACTCGTCTGGCTGAGGGAGGGGCATCATTTATCCATGGGTCAGATTGTGGTTTCAAGCTCGTACTTATACAGTTTTTGCCCGTTGCCTGAACACATTTTGCAAAACTTTGCTCATTGTGCCAAAACCCTAAACACAAGTAAACATGACACAACACTGGGAAATATACCATTCACATCTGCACCAAATTGAAACTCTACTCTCAAAACC